GGTGGGGTGCTGGAGGTGGCCGGGACCCACACCTGCTCCAGCTGCCCCTCAGTGTCCTCCAGGTCCAGGGCAGGTGGCTGCCTCTGATGCTGGCACACCATCTGGAACAGGTTCAGCGCTGCCATCCGGGCCCGTCCCAGGAGCAGGGTCTTTTCGGCTGCTGTGTTCTGGATCTGAATCCACTTGGATTCCTAGGGAATAACAAGTGTGCTTCCGGTTGACCGACTCAACTCGGAGGACTGGGCGGTACATCCCTCTCCGCCCTCGGCCCAGTCAGACGCAGCAGTGCGCTCCGGTTCTGGGGTCCCGGCCTCGTGTGCCCTGCAGCGCTTTCCCCGGTCTGAACGTGCGCCCTTCGGGGTGCGCCCCCCTACCCATCCTCAGTTCTCTTGCCCCCTGGCGCAAGCTCACTCGCTGAGTGAGGCTGGGGTTGTCCCCCTCCCTGGCGGCCGTACCCAGTGCAGCGTGCGCTCGCGGGCCTCCTCCAGCCGCTGCTGCAGCTGCGCGCGCCGCTGGCTTTGCCGCAGCACCTCGTCCTGCCAGGTGTCCCGCAGCCGCTGCAGCTGCGCCCGCGCCGTCTCCAGCTCCGCCAGCCGCTCACGCTCCGTGCGCTGCAGCGCCGCCTCCATGTCGGCCAGGCCATCGAAGCGCGCCACCAGCTCGGGGACCCCCTGGAACTGGGATGGCAGGGATCAGAAAGGATCTCCCAGAAGCAGCGTCCCCCGTCCCCTGTCCACCTCGGATCACCTGGCCCATACCACTCCTCCCAGTGCCTCCTTAGCCCAACTACAATGAGGGCACCACAAGCCGGAAGTGAGTATAGCAGGGTCGAGCCAGAGGGTCACCAAGCTCAGTCCACCTCACTACCTGCGTGTTAGAATAAAAAACAAACCCAAACTCACTGCCCTGGAGTCGATGCTGACTCATAGTGACCCCACAGTAGGCGTCACAGACAGGTAAGCAGAAAGCTCCCACTGAGCGGCTGTTTTCAAACTGCTGACCTTGAGACTCACAGCCCAACAGTTAACCACTACACCGCCAGCGGTCCCCCTTCCCCACCTGCCGGCCTGTGGGACTTAGAGGAAGTTAGTTTTCTTCTGGGTCTCTGTTTTCTCCATCTGTAAACGGAGTGGACAATCACAGGGCCCACACCTGTGGGGAGGCATCCTGGAGCAAGAAGCATGCCCCTGTCTTACAGGCCGGACCCAGTAAGTGTCTCCAATAATCAGCTCAGAGCAACAGTTGTGAGGATGGCGCAGGGCCAGGCAGCTCTGTGTACCTAGGGTCGCTACGAAGTGAACCGTACTGGCTGGCACGTGCCTCCAACAAGTGGTTTCTGGAGAGCAGCGCGCGCGCACGCACACACACGCACACACACGCTCCAAAGTGCGCCCTCCCAAGGCGTGGTGCGGAGATCCCAGGCTGTCTGGCTGGCGCTCACCTCGGGTAGCTGCTCCAGCACCTGCTCCAGCAGCCGCGCGCACGGCGCCAGGCGCTCCAGGCTGCGCTGCAGCCTAGCACGCTCCCGCCGCAGCTCCTCCAGCTGGGCCGCCAGCCGCCGGGCCTCGGCCTCCTGACGATCTGCGAGGTGTCGCTCCTCCGCCGCCCGGCTCAGCGCACGGCGGCGCCGGGCCTCTGAGTCCTGCAAGGACACACCGGAGATGGTGTTGGCCGGGCGCATCGCCTCCACGCCTCCCCAACCATGGCACGCTTGCTAGGGATGGCAAACAGGCCACAGGTTGAATTTAGTCTGGGTCTCTGTAAAATGCTGCCGGCTCTGCGTCCATCCGTCCCAACACCCTTGTACCAGGGGGCTTGCCAAAGTCTGCCAAGTGATGGAATGGAGATACTGGAATTTCCCCCACCATCTTTTGGAAGCCCAGTCATAGGACCAAACCCACTCCTTTTTAAGTATGCCACCCACCTGGTCCTTAGTAGGGTTTGACCTATGACCCTTTGGATGGAGATGGGGAAGTGCATGAGTCCCCACCTACCTGCAAGAACTTGTCAAAGCGGAAGAAGGACCCCTTGAGCTCCTGCTCCCTCTGTTCCAGCTGTTTCCGCCGCTGCTGGAGCGTGGCCATCTTGGTTTGGAATACCTGCGTGCGACCACAGGGGGCTCAGTCTGTCTGGAGGGTCAGGTGAATCTAGGGGCCTTCACCGTCACTGCCTGCCTGGTCCAACCCACCCCTGCCCACCACTCTCAGGATGATGTCTTTGTGCCTTCCTGCACCCGGCCCCCCACTCTTTCTTTGTGGTCACCTTAACTGCCCTAGGAGCCCTGGTGGGGCAGGGGGTACTCATCAGCCTGCCAGCTGCAAGACCAGCAGCTGCCCAGCAGGAGAAAGATGAGGACACACAGCACCAAGGCACTTGGTGGCACTCCCTGGCACTTCCCATATCTCCCCGTTCTCACTGCCCAGCCCCCTCCCCCCAGCCCCCATTTCTGTCTGGTGTCCCACAGTCTCAGGGAGCAGGTGATTGACCTCTTTCTGGGCCTGCAGGGCCCGGTCTGCATCTGCCAGCTCCTGCTTCTTCTCCAGCAGCCGCAGCACCGGGGGGAAGGGGTTCACCTTCAGCTCCGGAATCTTCCTGCAAGGTGGGGAGGAGGCAGCGGAAGATGGGGGCGCTGTCCTCAGACTGGCTCCTTCCTAGGTGTGAATGATTTCATTCTCAGCTGGCTGGCAGCGGGGTGCGGGCCAGGAGCAGGTTGGAGATGTGGGCTATTGGCCTAGCTCTGCTCCAGAACTTTCTTGGGATAAACAGGGTTCCTCTCAGACCCTGTCTCTTCTCTGTGAAGTGGGACAACCATCACTCCATCATGAGCTGCTGCAGGAAGCCAGGACTCGGAGGAGGGGATCAGGGGTAGGGACATCCCAAGGGCTCTTGCCCCTCCTTCAGCACCTTCTGCTACTGCAGGCCACTCACCTAGCCAGCTTCTCCTTTAAGGCCAGCCGGAAATACTCCTCCCAGGCCACCGCCATCCTGTCTCCTTCCACTACTGCTTGGGGTTCTGCACACGCTCAGGAGGGTCTGGGGGCTCCAATGGACCGGGGAGCACCAGCTGGTTCTGCACTCCCAGAAGGCAGCTACCGCAGAGCCCGCCCTGGTTGCCTGGGCGACCACCAACACAACATTCCATGTCTTGGCAGAGGCAGAGGGAGGGGGCTGTGGGGAGAGGAGCAGGCTCTACCCTGCTCTGGAAGCCTTAGATGCTGGATCTGGATTGGGGAACAGTGGAGAGGAAAGGGGTCCCTGGGCTGAGAATTCACCTCTCTCTATGCCCCACGTCCCATACAGCACTGGGCTGTCACTCCCAGGAAAGGTACCCAGGGTCTACCTGGGTCGCAGAGTCTATCATTTGGGTACCCCAGATTGGTTAGGGCAGATAGAGGCATGCTCTATCAGTACCACCTGGTGGACACTAGCATGATAGGGTGGTGATCTGGATTTGGGGAGGGACTCTTTAATGGGGGAGATGGGAAGGAAGGAGCTAATAGTGCTTCTAATTAAAAATTTTCAACAGCCCTGCAGGGGATGGTCTCAGGGGGGGAAACAACTCAGTAAGGTATAACCAATATCATGGGTTTTCTACTCAGACGGGAGCAGCATGTGCAAAGGCCCAGAGGCAGAGCAGGTGGCCCCTCATTAGCTGAGAACCAAGGCCCATAGACAGGTGTGCAGAAGCCAAGGAAAATGGGGCAAGTCAGGGAGCCACAAAAGGGGCCAGGTTTGTGCTATGAGCAACAGGTGCCAAACCTGAGGCCCAGAGAGTTAAGTGACTTCCCTGAGGGCACTGCCTGGGAAGTGGTGAGTCCTGGCGGTAGGCTCCCACTTGGCCTTGGGACCCTGGGGGTACCAGAAGGCTCAGGGCTCAGAGGGGAGAGGGTGCCTACTCTTGGCTTGAGAAGACTGGAAGAATGGCAGCGTTGCCATCAGCCCATCTCCCTGGCAGGCCTCTCTGTTCAATGCACTGCGTGTGCCCACCCTGGCCTCTTCTCAGGGCTCTCTTGCCACTAGCACAGCCCCCTGACAGCCTCTGTCCCCAGCGTCCGGGGGTGGGTGGGTTAAGTTAATTGCCAAATGACAGCAGGACACACCTCTCCACTGGCCTTGCCCTTGGCAGCCAACCCACAGGCTCTGGAAATATCCACTCTCCCCACCCCCACGTCTCATGCCTCAGCGGCTTCTTCCTTCTTTCCATTCCAAGGAGGTGGTGGGTGACCACTCAGGGGAGCAGGGCTGTGAAGGAGCCAAGGAGGAAGTGAGTGTGTGTGTGTGTGTGTGTGTGTGTGTGTGTGTGTAGAGAAACATGGACACCAGACTTTCCAGCCCCTGGTGGGGAACACTTACCAGGCCCACAGAGGGGCATTTGGAAGCCCAGCCCGTCCTCCCACCTCTTCCTCCTGTCCCACGTGGCTCCCTGCCCAGAACCTTGCCTGCTCGCCATGCCACCACAAACAGGGCTTTGTGCTCCGGGGACAAAGCACAGCTCCTTGGCCCCACCTGGCCCAGGGCCGGCTGCCCTGCCCAGATCTCGGCCTCAGAAGAGGAGGTGCCCATTGCCCAGAGAGGGAAACGGAGGCCTGGAGAGGGGCTTGGTCTTGCGGCAGCAGAGGACGACGGTTTGGGGGAGGGGCTGGAGAGGGCAGTGAGTTGGCTGAGCTGGAGTTCCCATCCCAGGCACCTTGCATGCGTGCGTGCACGTGTGTGTACGTGTGTGGCCCGTAGAGAGGAGGGAAGCAGTTAGGGCCAATCAGGACGGCCAGAGGCAGCTGGGTTCCAGCCCTCAAAATGCATCCCAGTTGCACCCCGCACGTGTGTTTTGGGCTCTCCTCACTGCCAAGCAGTGTAGGAGGCTTGGAATGAATCAGACATTGTCCCTGACATTTAGGAGATAAGACAAGCATGTAAATCACCACAAAACAAGGGAACAAGACACCAAGGTCACAGAGGGGGGCCACCAGAGGGTTCAGGATGCGGGTCTGGGCGGTGTGTGTGTGCTTGTCAATGTCTTCCCAGCAGAGTTATTGGCAAGACCTCTGGTCACAGTCAGGGTTCACAGTCAAGCGGGAGCAGGCTTCAGCAGCACCCCCACCCCTCAGATCAGATCACCCCAAAGATGCTGTATCTGTGAGTCCTGCCCGGGGCCCCAGGCCAGCATCTTGAAGGAAGGAGGGGGGGTGGTCTCTGTGCCAGGAATGATGCCAGGTGCCTTACAGGACTAGAGGAGAGCCCGAGATAACAGAGAGAGCTCTCTTGCATGGACACGCATGGGAGGCCCTCTCCCTCCTCTAGATGGTGGGGGGTGGGGGAGGCCAGCAGATCAACCCCCTCTCTGGGCACCCCTGACCCTTGTTGGGGGCTGGCATAAAAGACTAAAGCCCCTGCAGTTTCAGGTGAGAGCTCCTCAGAACAACAGGAAGTGGTCGGTCAGGCCATGCGTAACATATGGGCCACAGTGTGGCCACAGGCCCGGGCCAACAGCGGGGTCAGACACCGGATATTTGCCAGGTGACAGAGCTGGCTCCCAGGAGCCCTGGCTGGCACAGCTGATAACCTCGGTCATTCCCACTGGGAGGGGTGTTTGGGAATGTCACTTCCTGTGTGACTCTAGAGACGTCTCAAGACACCAGGGTGGCAGTTTGGTTGGCCCCAGGGGGGCCCATAAGGGGGTGTTTCATCAACCCCTGGGGGTGTGGGGTGTAGCTGGTTGGCTAGCCTGGGCCTCTACAAGGTCCCAGGAGAAATGGTTTAACCAGCAGGCCCCTCAGCAGCACAGCAAATACCTTTGTCTTTCAGTTGTACAGTTAGTTTGGGGGACAGACTTAGGGGGAAAGATAAAGATGACTGGGGTTGAGGGGAAGTTTTAACTCCCTATTAGGGCCACGGCAATCCTACACAGGATCACCCCTCAGCCCGTCCCCTCCTCCATAGGCTATTCCTAAGTAGGTCTACCTTGCTAGGCCCACTTCCCCGATGGGGAAGCTGAGGCCCAGGTCCCAGGTCATACCAGGCAGCAGGGAGCCAGCCCACAGAGAGATGGGGAGCAGGAGTCAGAGGCTGCCGGGGTGTGCCTGGTCCTGCCGGTCTGGGTGTTGGTTCGCTCAGGCGGCGGGTACCTTTCTGTTGGTGCCCAGCCCTGGGCTGACCCCACCAAGTGTGGCTCAGTGCCAGTCCTTCTAAGAGCTCTCAGGCAGGTAAACAATGAACTCCCCGGTAGAAAGCAGTGTGTGCAAGGGTCCACCCTTGGACTGGCCCTTCTGGGCACACCCACCTCATTGAAGACTACCTCCTCTGCCCCTGAGAGCTGGGGAGAAGGAGCCCTGGTGACTTAGAACCACGAGGGCAGCAGTTTGAACCCACCAACTGCTCCCTGGGAGAAAGATGAGCCTCTCGGCTCCCATCAAGGTTCCAGTCTCTGAAACCCACGGGGGACCATCTTCCTCTGTCCTACAGGGTGGCCATGAGTGAGACCTGACTCAAAGGCAGTGAGGGCTGTGGAAGCAAAGGGCAGGGAGGAAACCCTTCCTTCCCTCCAGAGTGAGAGACATCCTGGAGGGCATCCTAGAAGAGGCAGCATTTGACAACCATAATATCAAACACTGAGAATGTCTTCGGCACCCCTGTCACTTCTGAGAACTGCGTTTGTCCTGGCTCATTCTATTCCCTGAAAACCGAGAGATTGGGAGATCACGTGAATCCCATGCACGATGTGAGAAACACCACACCAAGGTCCAGAGAGGTGAAGTGCCTTGTCCAAGACCACACAGCAACCAAGAGCTGGAGCCAGGATTCCCACCCAGTAAGTTCAACCAGGCACTAACTACTAGGCCAGGTAAGTTACTGAACTCCCTCAGGAACCTCAGTTTCTCTCTCCATAAAATGGGGGCCCTAGTACTTAGCCCATGGGGCTATTGCGAGGACGAAAATAGGATCACCGTGACCAAGC